GGCTGCCCAGGGAGGTGGTTGAGTCACCATCCCTGGATGTATTAAAGGGTCGTTTGGATGTGGTGCTGGTGGAGATGGTTTAAGGGAGAACTTTGTAGAGTAGGGATGATGGTTGGACTCTGATCCCAAGGGTCTTTTCCAACCTGAACAGTTCTATGATTCTATGGCCTTTAAAGATCATCCATAGGCAAGGACTTCTTTTCATTAGTTTAGGTTGCTCCAAGTCCTGTCCAACCTGACCTTGAACAGTTCCAATGATGGAGCATCCATAACTTCTCTGGGCAGCCTGTTCTAGCATGTCACCATCCTCAGTGAAAAATTTCTTCCTTAAGTCCTTATTTCAGATTAAAGCCATTGCCTCTTGCCATTTCAACAGCTAAGGCAAAGATAATACAGAAAAAGTAAATGCCTCTATGGGATAAATGATTCCAAAATATGTTTATGACACAAAGATTTTTAACTTAGTCAGAATTGGTCTATTTTGAGTGGTACTGGAAACAGTCAAAGATCTAAACTTACAGGCTGTAGGCAGTACTCCTGTCCTCATATCAGTTTCGTGGTTAGAAAATTTGCAATTTTAATACAAATTTAATTTAAAAAAAATTACAATTTTGATTTTTTAAAAATCTGACTGTCATTCCACACATCCTCAGGATGCTGCTCAACTACTTCTGAACCACACTCTCAAATCAACCAGTTGACACTTTTGTCATAGCAGTAGTTAAGGTCTCACAAAATGTTGTCTATAATAAAACAAGCTGTCAGATAGGCACAGCACACAGAGATGCTCTGTTTGCTCAGCTACAGAAATGCAGGGAATCAGCAGTTGATGAACTTCCTGGAACTGAGGCTACATCCTAATCAGTGTTCAATACCTGTTTGAGCCTAATTACTCATGGAACTCATTCATATGTTAAGCCATGACACACCACAGCAGTTCTACCTGCAGGAGACAGGTACCATGCAAGGAACTGCCACTGCTCTCACTGCAGATCTGCTGCTTGGTAGTTTCACTGAGTGCTGCTGAGAAATCATCATTCAGACTCTACAATCTGTTGTCTCTTTCTGAAAGAAGCACACCATGATTTTGACTCTCTGCACTGAAGTCATATGGTAATCACCACATTTTCCACCTCAGGATCCTGTGAGACCGTGGTAAAAAATGAAAGTGGGTCTCTGCACCAGTAAAGCTGAAAGATTTCCTTCTAACTTCTGGGCTTACAGTAGAAAAGATACATGTGGCAGCTGCCCATTGCAGGAACTAGAGCAGTAAGTCCCACAGCCTTGGTTTGGTTTATAAATAATTGCTAATAAATTACACCAGAAACTGTCCTGAGAAGGTTAACATTGCTCTTGTGCAGAGCAGTGTGACCAGCAGCAGGGCATGAGCAACTAAAAGGGTTTTTCTCTGAAAGTTGGATTTCCCTGCTGCATCTCTGCCTCCAGCAGCAGAAACTGCTTGGTTTCTGTGCAATCCACTGAAAGCTTTTTCACCTGTGCAAGTTTGTTGGTAAGCTTCAAGTACTCCCAAAATTCACTAGAGACCTGTGTAGGCAGTGGGCAAATAAGGAACAAAATACAAAGCATTTACAACTAAAATTTTGTTTCGAGATCCCTGTGGGGTTGTTGAATGTCAACATCAAATTGCTTCTACCAGCTTTAGAAGAAAGGTGAAAGCATTGGGTGGAAGACAAGAGGAAGGAAGGTCAAATGAAATTATACTCTTTTATTTTTGTTCTCAGATTAACTTCACAATTCTGTACTTACACATGCCCCTGTCATATCAAAGTTTATTTGTTTAAGGGTATACCAAGTAAGCATAATAGAAGAGAGATTTGATTTTGCTCCTTAAATAGAACAAGTTCAAACATTGTTATAGAAAATTAATGCATCTCATACACTGTAGTCCCTTCATTTTCAATTCTCTTTTAAGTTAAAACCATATTTTCATTGCTTGTACATTTTCCCTTCTCCAACAGAACAAAAATTGAATATGCTTAATAACAGATCATCTTATTTCTAAAGAAAGCCTTAAAGCACACTGGAAACAACTCTGAAACTTCGTGCTGATGTTGCATGATCATTATGGGCACAGGCAGCAGCCACATTCTGTCCTGTCCTTTATCAGTCGAGTCCAGAACTGAACCAACAAGTAATTCAAAAGCAGCAAGAAGAGGGAGCAAAACCTGTGACTGGAAGATAAGTGCTAGTCCAGGTTTATCTGAGAAACAATGAGAATGTAGCTAACGAGGAGCAGCTTTTGAGTCGGGATGTGTAATGAACACTGGTAACGTTCCTGCTCTGAGAGTGACCACAGAGCTGCCTCTCAAAAGGAGGAGGGCAGCCACCGGAGGCATCCCAGGTCCCTCCTGCCGAGGGGACCTGAGGACTGTTGTCAGGTGTCTCAGAGACATCAGCCCACCCCTAACGAAGGCAGTAACAAGAGCAGGGCTGGGGTGCAGATGCCCAGGAGCACGTAACCAAGCAGGATACAGCGGTGCTTTCCCAGGATACTCTTCCATCTGCCGGTAACGTCGAGCCCAAGGGCTCTGCGAGCCGAAGATGTGCATTGCTGCTCAAAACCTTCACATCCCTGCTTTCTGAACGCAGCAATTCAAGCCCCGCGGCCGCAGTGCC